CATTCATGTAAATGTTGGTAACATACATGTTTTATCAAATAACATACATGTTTTATCATGTTGAATAAAATGTATGCTGATTATGTTCGAAAGGGTTCCTGGTGGTTGAAGTATGTTGATACTAAATTTTTTACTGTCATTTCTTAGCACCTCCAACTTCTCCCATAGTTCAGATCGATGCCACCACATCTTCCACCATCAGCATCAGCTGGAAGAAGGACATCAAGGACAAAGCGGCAATACCAGGTAGGACTCTCATTTTGAATTAAATCATTAACATGCCTTGCACTTTTTTAATTGTTTCTTAAAAGTTTAAAAATATTTCATTTAATACTTTAATTAAAGATTTCAAAACATTAAGCAAGACCCCTTTCTAATTGCTGAATAATTTATGTCCAGATCTCGAAATATTGTTCAAGTGCTACTCTTAAAAAAAACTCTTTGTTGTGGCTTGTCCAACAAATTCAGCCGTATCGTAATTTGTTCATCTCTAAAGTTTCCAGTGACCTGGTGGCCAAGTGGCTAGCGCTCTGGTCTTTGGTATCCCAGGCTTCAGGTTCGAATCCTGGCGGTGGCATGGATGTTTGTTAGTGGTTCGGAATCCACGTTAAACTGTAGATCCCGGTCTGTGTAGCCCTCGTGTGCACAATAAGTCCATAGAGCGACAAACCAAACTAAAGTTTCCATGTGGTTCCGGTATTGGTCCAGATTTCACTGAAAAAATTCCAGTATTTTCAAAAAGCAAAAATTTTCACTGCCGAAGATTTGTAATAATAAGGGATCCTTTTCCAGATCGAAATTCTTTGAGAAATGCAGAAGCATTGTTGTTTTTGAAATAAAATATATGGCAAACAATGCTCTGTCAGGTAAAATGAATATTATAACCTCCAAAATAGTAGTTTATTGAAAAATTGTTTCATGCAGTCGTCATGTTGGTAAAATAATTTTAGATGCATTAAATATTCTGCAGAGTGCTGGCCCCATCAACACCAATTTATCAACACTAGGTTTTTAGCCACCAGGTTATTTAGCCATTGTAGCCAAAATATGAAATATTAATTTCATTTTCTTACCACTAAAAAAAAATAATGAATTTTTAGTTAGTCACTAGTCATATATTTTACTTGTCGTAATAACATTGCTTTTAAAAGTTACACTCTATGGGTAACTATTAAAGAATCAAAGTGTTTAAATAAACTTGAATAAATTACGGTTAATATTATTTAATGTCAAAGTTTATTTAAGAAAGAAATGAAGATGTTAATAATAAAGCGGTTAGTTTATTACAGAATATAATTATGTCAGATTTTTTCTAATAAAAATACTTTTTTATTAGAAAATATATATGTTTTTAACTAATAGTACGTATAATTTAATTTCGAATCAAATTTAATCAGTTTTTTTGTTAAAGCTTAAAAAGTACCATAAATTACTTTCAATTAGAAATTTATATAAAAGATTAAGAAAATTGTCACAAAGAAAAATGCAATCATAACTTTGTAGAAAATTTTAAATTAAAATAATCCAAAGGCGATACTAACTGTTACGAATTTAAAACTGTAATTAAAAGAAAATATTTTAAAACAGAAGTACTAAAAAAATGTTCCAAATTATATATGTTCTCTCCTGTTAAAATAAATTATCCAATTTATAACGCTTTTTTCGTGGGGCTAAATTATTAAATTTTGCTTTTCTATGTATGTTATGACCAATACGAATAGAAAAATGTACTTAAAATCAGTAAATCAATAAATCATATGCCTGCGTTTTTAACTTTAAAAAAAGCTCTCAAAACGTGAAATTCAATCCATTTCTGCCATAAATTTCATCCCATGCCAACAAACACGTAGTATTTTAAGGAAATATGCCATAAGGAAACATTATGTCGGAAGCAAAATCCATTATGTCAAAAACATACGAACATAAAAAACTCGTAGATTATTCATAAAACATTTTAAGTGCTTTATTTGAGCAAAAATATAGTGCACGTGAAAGTGTATTTGAAGGAACAACTTCTTAAAGATGCTTTATTATCCCTGGTGTAAAGTAAATAACAAACATTTTCAATTCGCTTACAAAACATATTTTCTAATATTTTATAAAATAAACATTTTTTTTCACTTATGATCTTAAAAACGAAATTCAATAACTGAAATGTCAGCATTTATTTGAAGATTTCCTATTTAAATAATATTAAAAACTTGCTTTTAGCGATTATTTTTCATCGCAAGAAAAAGTTATTTGTTCTCTGAAAATATTTTCTAATATTTCAATGATTAATATAAAAATATAATCATTCATCAATTATAAATCCTTTATTATTTAAGTTAATCATTTATGATTAAATTAATGATTAATGATGAGGGGCCTGAATGGCCGAGTGGCTAGCGCTCTGGCGCTCGGTACCACAAGTTTTGGGTTCGAGTCCCGGCGGCGCCATGGATGTTGCAGTGGTTCGGAATCCACTTTAAACCGTAGGTCCCGGTCGAATATGATCGTAGAGCGTCACGGGGACATTGTTACTCCGCGTTCGTGGCTTATCTTCAAGTTACACGCGCCCCCTGGGTAATGCAAAGTGAGTAACGTTTGTGCAGAGCTTGCCTTAAGGCATCCAAGACTAAGTGTCTAAGTGTTTGCCACCTGCATTAGAAGAAAATGATTAATATTTAGATTAATCAAACATTAATAATAATTAACCATTAATTTAAATAACCAATCATTAATTTAAAAATAGTTGGAGCAAGAACAAGTAATGTGAAAGATTTCTTGAGATTAAAGTAATTGTAATTTTAATACGCTATAAATATAACTGGTAAAGTGTTTTAAGCGCCTGGCAGCCGAATGGCTAGCGCTCTGACGCTCGATACCACAGGTTTCGGGTTCCAAGCTTCCAAGGCCAACCATTCATTGGGGCTGTCGCGCTCATGAAGAATGTTATTTTAATGGCAGATTACACATATTGACATAGAATATAACACACTTGATACATCATTGGAAAAATCTATTTTTTCAAAATATGATGAAAATTTGTTATACAAAGCCCAACATTTCAAAATAAGGTGTGTTTTTATTTTTCTTACAAATTTAACATTTTAAAATTAATTTGTAGCAAAATAATTGCTGATACCCTTTTAAACTGCAGTCAATTTCGGTACTATATTTACATTTACTATATTGTTATTCTTCTTCTTCAATGGCGCAACAGCCTCATGGCCTCTGCCTACTGGCATATTCCGAGAAAGATGTTTTCTTTTTACAGGATAGGTACATCAGTCCTACTCTTAAAAGTCAAATTAGAAAGGAACCTACGGTTTAAAGCGTATTCTGAACTACTACAAACATCCATGGCATCGCTCAGACTCGAACCCGAAACCTGTGGCACCGAGAGCTAATTACTCGGCCGCCACCGAAAGTGACCTAAAGTAGCCTACTCCTAAAGTTTTTTTGTTTTTTTCTTCTAATGCAGCTGGCAAATAGACCGGGATCTTTCGCCATAAGGGCTGCACTGATGTTACTCACTTTGCATTACCCAGGGGGCGCGTGTAACTTGATGGTAAGTCACGGACGCGGAGTAACAATGCCCCCCGCAGCGCTCTACGATCCTATTAGGACCGGGACCTACAGCTTAAAGTGGATTCCGAACCACTACAACACCCATGGACAAAAACCGGGATTTGAACCCGATACCTGTGGTACCGAACGCCAGAGCACTAGCCATTCAGCCCTGTACTCCTAAAGTAAATTAATGAAAAACATCTCCTTAAGCAGATTTCGAGAGAGGTGTTTTTCTTTTAGATTACTTTAGAATAGTGTGTCGATCCTACGCCCAACAGCCATATTAGACCGCGATCTACGGTTAAAGTGGATTCCGAACCATAAAGAAACATCCATGACATCGTCGGGACTCGAACGCGAAACATGGGGCACCGAGAGCTAATTACACGGTTATCACCTAAAGCAATCGAAAGTAACCTAAAGAAAAACATCTCCTTTGTCAGATTTCGAGACAATAGATGTTTTTCTTTGGATTAATTTAGGGTTGGGGTGTCGGTCCTACGCCCGATAGTCATATTAGACCGGGATCTACGGTTTAAAGTGGATCACGAAGCAATATAAAGATCCATGTCAATCCATGTCAACCCAAAGTCTGGTTTACTACGCGCTAGTCAATTAGGCATTAGACCTCATATTACTATAACGTGAAGAATGCTTTATCTATGTATATATTCAAGGCCCTGAATGGCCGAGTGGCTAGCGCTCGGTACTACAGGTTTCGGGTTCGAGTCCCGGCGGAGCCATGGTTGTTTGTAGTGGTACGGAATCCACTTTAAAAAGTAGGTCCCGGTCCTAATAGGATCGTAGAATGTTGCGGGAGCATTGTGACTCCACCTCCGTGGCTTATCTTCAAGTTACACACGTCCCCTGGGTAATGCAAAGTGAGTGCATCTCTGCAGCACTTACCTTAAGGCATCTAAAGACCCAGCTGTCTGTGTTTGCCAGCTGCATTAGAAAGAAAAAATGTATATATTCATACATTTCACAATTGTCATTTGAAGCTCAAAAGCGATTTATTTCAATATGTATGAAATTTTTAAGTTATCTTTTAGGTAAACATTTGTTTAAACTATTTTCAAACATTCTACTACCAAGTATTACATGCGAAACAAATCTACCGGTAATGTATGTGACAGTATTCAGTTCTTCGATTTTAACTCTTCTTGTTGTTTCTTATCCCACTTGGCTGACCAAGCCCACGAGCCCATACGTACTCATGATTGAAGGGGAAGGAAGCAGCTTCTGTTGTGATGGAGCACCCGTAGGTAGAAGCCTGACTTTTGCTCCGTGACGCTCTTACAGTCATAGGAGACCGAGACCTATGGTTTAAAGTGGATTCCGAACCACTACAGACATCCATGGCACCGCCGGGATTCGAACCCGAAACCTGTGGGCACCGAGCGCCAGAGCGCTAGACACTCGGCCGTTCAGGTCCCAAATTTGCCAACGGCACGCAGTGTTCCCAGGTGGTCACCCACCCAAGTACTGACCGCGCCCAATGATGCTTGACTTCGGTGATCTAACGAGAACCGGTATATTCAGCATGGTACGGCCGTACGACCGATTTTAACTAAATTTTTTTTTAACCCGATAGTAGAAATGTTAAATAAACTCGCCTAAATAAACTCGGCACGCATTTTCATGATAATATAATCGAAATTGTAGTAAAGAAATAAGAAATTAATGCTTTTAACTAAAAACTTTGTCAAAGAGTTTATATAACTTTAAAATAATCGATAGTAATCAATAGAGCTTAGAAAACCCAAAACTAGATCAGGCATGAAGGAAAAGAACCGGAGCCCATTTTAAAAAGAAAAAAAAAGTGATATGTGAAACATAACTAAAGAAGATAAAAGTATAAAATAAAAAAGTATGATTAATAACGATAAAAGCTGAACTACGACAGGAAGAGATATATTAAGATAACATGTATCACCTAGCAAAAAATAATGTATATGATAATCTGTAGAGTTTTTACCACATAAAGTACCACCAATCCTTCGCAAAACCTTGCAGATAAACCCTTGGGAAGATTATTGGGTCCCAACATAAACTATTGATTCTTCTTCTTCATCGGTGTAACTTTCTCATGATGGGCTAAGGCCATCTGGTTTCTTTCAGATTTCGTGGCAGGAGAAGTTTTTTTTTACGGGGTAGGATTGTCAGCCATGTGCCCAACATTCATATTAAATAGTACCTACCGGTTTAAAGGGGATATTACTATATATACACGTATTACAGGTTTACATATTAACAGTTTAAAGTGGATTCCGAACCACTACAAATATCAGTGCCACTGTCGAAACTCGAACCCGAAACACGTGAAACAATTGATTACTTCAAATAAATTGATCAATAAATTTTCTTTAACCCAGATGACTTATTCAGATATTTTTTTGTTTTTGTTTCCCGATGCTTATCATCTCACTTCAGTACAAATAATTTATCGTAAATAAATGAGGAGTTTCTTTCGCTCTCTTTAATTATGTAATCCCATCAAATGCTATTTAAAATAGAGATTTGAATTTGTCGCTCTACGGTCCTTTTTTTCCTCAATTTAGCTAATTAGACTGGTACCTACAGTTTAACTTGGATTCCGAACCACTAACATGTCTCAGCCAGGATGCGAACCTGAGGCCTGTGGTACCAACAGCCAGAGTGCTAGCCAATTGGTCATCAGACCGCTTAAAATAGAGAAGGCATTTTTTTCGTTCCGTTTTTAAAGAATTGGATTGGCTTGCCGTACTACAGGGATTTTGCATACTTTAAGAAAATTACACCGAAACCTGCAGTTTAACATGGATTCGAACCACTAACATACATCCATGCCACCACCAAGATACGAACCTGAGGTCTGTGGTACCAGCCAGAGTGCTAGCCAATTGGTCATCAGGCCGCTTAAAATAGAGAAGGCATTTTTTTCGTTCCGTTTTTAAAGAATTGGATTGGCTTGCCGTACTACAGGGATTTTTGCATACTTTAAGAAAATTACACCGAAACCTGCAGTTTAACATGGATTCCGAACCACTAACATACATCCATGCCACCACCAAGATACGAACCTGAGGTCTGTATTACCAACAGCCAGAGTGCTAGCCAATTGGTCATCAGGCCGCTTAAAATAGAGAAGGCATTTTTTTCGTTCCGTTTTTAAAGAATTGGATTGGCTTGCCGTACTACAGGGATTTTTGCATACTTTAAGAAAATTACACCGAAACCTGCAGTTTAACATGGATTCCGAACCACTAACATACATCCATGCCACCACCAAGATACGAACCTGAGGTCTGTATGCTAGCCAACAGCCAAAATAGAGAAGGCATTTTTTTCGTTCCGTTTTTAAAGAATTGGTTGGCATCAGACCACTTAAAATAGAGAAGGCCGATTTTTCGTTCCGTCTTTTGCTACAATTGGTCATCAGACCGCTTGAGAAGGCATTTTTTCGGCTTGCCGTACTACAGGGATTTTTGCATACTTTTAAGAAAATTACACTGAAACCTGCAGTTTAACATGGATTCCGAACCACTAACATACATCCATGCCACCACCAAGATACGAACCTGAGGTCTGTATTACCACAGCCAGAGTGCGCAACTACAATTGGTCAGGCCGCTTAAAATAGAGAAGGCATTTTTTTCGTTCCGTTTTTTAAAGAATTGGATTGGCTTGCCGTACTACAGGGATTTTTGCATACTTTAAGAAAATTACACCGAAACCTGCAGTTTAACATGGATTCCGAACCACTAACATACATCCATGCCACCACCAAGATACGAACCTGAGGTCTGTATTACCAACAGCCAGAGTGCTAGCCAATTGGTCAGGCCGCTTAAAATAGAGAAGGCATTTTTTTCGTTCCGTTTTTAAAGAATTGGATTGGTTTGCCGTACTACAGGGATTTTTTGCATACTTTAAGAAAATTACACCGAAACCTGCAGCAACATGGATTCCGAAACCATACATCCATGCCACCACCAGATACGAACCTGAGGTCTGTATTACCAACAGCCAGAGTGCTAGCCAATTGGTCATCAGGCCGCTTAAAATAGAGAAGGCATTTTTTTCGTTCCGTTTTTAAAGAAAGAATTGATTGGCTTGCCGTACTACAGGGATTTTTGCATACTTTAAGAAAATTACACCGAAACCTGCAGTTTAACATGGATTCCGAACCACTAACATACATCCATGCCACCACCAAGATACGAACCTGAGGTCTGTATTACCAACAGCCAGAGTGCTAGCCAATTGGTCAGGCCGCTTAAAATAGAGAAGGCATTTTTTTTCGTTCCGTTTTTAAAGAATTGGATTGGCTTGCCGTACTACAGGGATTTTTGCATACTTTAAGAAAATTACACCGAAACCTGCAGTTTAACATGGATTCCGAACCACTAACATACATCCATGCCACCACCAAGATACGAACCTGAGGTCTGTATTACCAACAGCCAGAGCTGCTAGCCAATTGGTCATCAGGCCGCTTAAAAATAGAGAAGGCATTTTTTTTCGTTCCGTTTTTAAAGAATTGGATTGGCTTGCCGTACTACAGGGATTTTTGCATACTTTAAGAAAATTGCTACACCGAAACCTGCAGTTTAACATGGATTCCGAACCACTAACATACATCCATGCCACCACCAAGATACGAACCTGAGGTCTGTATTACTAACAGCCAGAGTGCTAGCCAATTGGTCATCAGGCCGCTTAAAATAGAGAAGGGCTTTTTTTTCGTTCCGTTTTTTAAAGAATTGATTGGCTTGCCGTACTACAGGGATTTTTGCATACTTTAAGAAAATTACACCGAAACCTGCAGTTTAACATGGATTCCGAACCACTAACATACATCCATGCCACCACCAAGATACGAACCTGAGGTCTGTATTACCAACAGCCAGAGTTAGCCAATTGGTCATCAGACCGCTTAAAATAGGAGAAGGCATTTTTTTCGTTCCGTTTTTAAAGAATTGGATTGGCTTTCTTGCCGTACTACAGGGATTTTTGCATACTTTAAGAAAATACAACGAAACCTGCAGTTTAACATGGATTCCGAACCACTAACATACATCCATGCCACCACCAAGATA